GCACAGCGCCCACCTCTCTCTCTCTCTCTCTGCACAGCGCCCACCTCTCTCTCTCTCTCTCTGCACAGTGCCCACCTCTCTCTCTCTCTCTCTGCACAGCACCCACCTCTCTCTCTCTCTCTCTGCACAGTGCCCACCTCTCTCTCTCTCTCTCTCTCTGCACAGTGTCCACCTCTCTCTCTCTCTCTCCCTGCACAGTGTCCACCTCTCTCTCTCTCTCTCTGCACAGCGCCCACCTCTCTCTCTCTCTCTCCTCACAGCGCCCACCTCTCTCTCTCTCTATGCACAGCGCCCACCTCTCTCTCTCTCTCTCTGCACAGTGCCCACCTCTCTCTCTCTCTCTCTCTCTGCACAGTGTCCACCTCTCTCTCTCTCTCTCCCTGCACAGTGTCCACCTCTCTCTCTCTCTCTCTGCACAGCGCCCACCTCTCTCTCTCTCTCTCCTCACAGCGCCCACCTCTCTCTCTCTCCCTGCACAGCGCCCACCTCTCTCTCTCTCTCTCTCCTCACAGCGCCCACCTCTCTCTCTCTCTGCACAGCGCCCACCTCTCTCTCTCTCTCCCTGCACAGTGTCCACCTCTCTCTCTCTCCCTGCACAGTGTCCACCTCTCTCTCTCTCTCTGCACAGTGCTCACTTCTCTCTCTCTCTCTCTCCTCACAGTGCCCACCTCTCTCTCTCTCTCTGCACAGCGCCCACCTCTCTCTCTCTCTGCACAGCGCCCACCTCTCTCTCTCTCTCTCTCCACGCAGCGCCCACCTCTCTCTCTCTCTCTCCGCACAGTGCCCACCTCTCTCTCTCTCTCTGCACAGTGCCCACCTCTCTCTCTCTCTCCTCACAGCGCCCACCTCTCTCTCTCTCTCTGCACAGCGCCCACCTCTCTCTCTCTCTCTCTCTGCACAGCGCCCACCTCTCTCTCTCTCTCTCTCTGCACAGCGCCCACCTCTCTCTCTCTCTCTCTCTCTCTGCACAGCGCCCACCTCTCTCTCTCTCTCTCTGCACAGCGCCCACCTCTCTCTCTCTCTCTCTGCACAGCGCCCACCTCTCTCTCTCTCTCTCCCCACACAGTGCCCACCTCTCTCTCTCTCTCTCCCCACACAGTGCCCACCTCTCTCTCTCTCTCCCTGCACAGCGCCCACCTCTCTCTCTCTCTCTCTCTGCACAGCGCCCACCTCTCTCTCTCTCTCCCTGCACAGCGCCCACCTCTCTCTCTCTCTCCCTGCACAGCGCCCACCTCTCTCTCTCTCTCCCTGCACAGTGTCCACCTCTCTCTCTCTCTTTCTCTGCACAGTGCCCACCTCTCTCTCTCTCTCTCTGCACAGTGCCCACCTCTCTCTCTCTCTCTCTGCACAGCGCCCACCTCTCTCTCTCTCTCTGCACAGTGCCCACCTCTCTCTCTCTCTCTCTGCACAGCGCCCACCTCTCTCTCTCTCTCTCCCCACACAGTGCCCACCTCTCTCTCTCTCTCTCCCCACACAGTGCCCACCTCTCTCTCTCTCTCCCTGCACAGCGCCCACCTCTCTCTCTCTCTCTGCACAGCGCCCACCTCTCTCTCTCTCTCTCTGCACAGCACCCACCTCTCTCTCTCTCTCCCTGCACAGCGCCCACCTCTCTCTCTCTCCCTGCACAGCGCCCACCTCTCTCTCTCTCTCCCTGCACAGTGTCCACCTCTCTCTCTCTCTTTCTCTGCACAGTGCCCACCTCTCTCTCTCTCTCTCTCTGCACAGTGCCCACCTCTCTCTCTCTCTCTCTGCACAGCACCCACCTCTCTCTCTCTCTCTCTGCACAGCGCCCACCTCTCTCTCTCTCTCTGCACAGCGCCCACCTCTCTCTCTCTCTCTCTGCACAGTGCCCACCTCTCTCTCTCTCTCTCTGCACAGCACCCACCTCTCTCTCTCTCTCTCTGCACAGTGCCCACCTCTCTCTCTCTCTCTCTGCACAGCGCCCACCTCTCTCTCTCTCTCTCTCTGCACAGCGCCCACCTCTCTCTCTCTCTCTCTGCACAGCACCCACCTCTCTCTCTCTCTCTCTGCACAGTGCCCACCTCTCTCTCTCTCTCTCTCTGCACAGCGCCCACCTCTCTCTCTCTCTCTCCCTGCACAGTGTCCACCTCTCTCTCTCTCTCTCTCTGCACAGTGCCCACCTCTCTCTCTCTCTCTGCACAGCGCCCACCTCTCTCTCTCTCTCTCCCTGCACAGTGTCCACCTCTCTCTCTCTCTCTCTGCACAGCGCCCACCTCTCTCTCTCTCTCTCCTCACAGCGCCCACCTCTCTCTCTCTCTCTGCACAGCGCCCACCTCTCTCTCTCTCTCCCTGCACAGTGTCCACCTCTCTCTCTCTCTCCCTGCACAGTGTCCACCTCTCTCTCTCTCTCTCTCTGCACAGTGCTCACCTCTCTCTCTCTCTCTCTCCTCACAGTGCCCACCTCTCTCTCTCTCTGCACAGCGCCCACCTCTCTCTCTCTCTGCACAGCGCCCACCTCTCTCTCTCTCTCTCTCCACGCAGCGCCCACCTCTCTCTCTCTCTCTCCGCACAGTGCCCACCTCTCTCTCTCTCTCTGCACAGTGCCCACCTCTCTCTCTCTCTCTCCTCACAGCGCCCACCTCTCTCTCTCTCTCTGCACAGCGCCCACCTCTCTCTCTCTCTCTCTCTGCACAGTGCCCACCTCTCTCTCTCTCTCTCTCTGCACAGCGCCCACCTCTCTCTCTCTCTCTCTCTGCACAGCGCCCACCTCTCTCTCTCTCTCTGCACACACAGCGCCCACCTCTCTCTCTCTCTGCACAGCGCCCACCTCTCTCTCTCTCTCTGCACAGCGCCCACCTCTCTCTCTCTCTCTCTCTGCACAGCGCCCACCTCTCTCTCTCTCTCTCTGCACAGCGCCCACCTCTCTCTCTCTCTCTCCGCACAGTGCCCACCTCTCTCTCTCTCTCTCTCCACACAGTGCCCACCTCTCTCTCTCTCTCTCCGCACAGCGCCCACCTCTCTCTCTCTCTCCCTGCACAGCGCCCACCTCTCTCTCTCTCTCTCTCTGCACACACAGCGCCCACCTCTCTCTCTCTCTGCACAGCGCCCACCTCTCTCTCTCTCTCTCTGCACAGCGCCCACCTCTCTCTCTCTCTCTCTGCACAGCGCCCACCTCTCTCTCTCTCTCTCTGCACAGCGCCCACCTCTCTCTCTCTCTCTGCACAGCGCCCACCTCTCTCTCTCTCTCTCTCTCCTCACAGCCCCCACCTCTCTCTCTCTCTCTCTCCACGCAGCGCCCACCTCTCTCTCTCTCTCTCCGCACAGTGCCTACGTCTCTCTCTCTCTCCACACACAGTGCCCACCTCTCTCTCTCTCTCTCTCTGCACAGCGCCCACCTCTCTCTCTCTCTCTCTGCACAGCACCCACCTCTCTCTCTCTCTCTCTCTGCACAGCGCCCACCTCTCTCTCTCTCTCTCTGCACAGCGCCCACCTCTCTCTCTCTCTCTCTGCACAGCGCCCACCTCTCTCTCTCTCTCTCTGCACAGCGCCCACCTCTCTCTCTCTCTCTCTGCACAGCGCCCACCTCTCTCTCTCTCTCTCTGCACAGCGCCCACCTCTCTCTCTCTCTCTGCACAGCGCCCACCTCTCTCTCTCTCTCTCTCCTTACAGTGCCCACCTCTCTCTCTCTCTCTCTCCTCACAGCGCCCACCTCTCTCTCTCTCTGCACAGCGCCCACCTCTCTCTCTCTCTCCCTGCACAGTGTCCACCTCTCTCTCTCTCTCCCTGCACAGTGTCCACCTCTCTCTCTCTCTCTGCACAGTGCTCACCTCTCTCTCTCTCTCTCTCCTCACAGTGCCCACCTCTCTCTCTCTCTCTGCACAGCGCCCACCTCTCTCTCTCTCTGCACAGCGCCCACCTCTCTCTCTCTCTCTCTCCACGCAGCGCCCACCTCTCTCTCTCTCTCTGCACAGCGCCCACCTCTCTCTCTCTCTCTCTGCACAGCGCCCACCTCTCTCTCTCTCTCTCTCTGCACAGCGCCCACCTCTCTCTCTCTCTCTCTGCACAGCGCCCACCTCTCTCTCTCTCTCTCTCTGCACAGCGCCCACCTCTCTCTCTCTCTCTCTCTGCACAGCGCCCACCTCTCTCTCTCTCTCTCTCTGCACACACAGCGCCCACCTCTCTCTCTCTCTGCACAGCGCCCACCTCTCTCTCTCTCTCTCTGCACAGCGCCCACCTCTCTCTCTCTCTCTCTGCACAGCGCCCACCTCTCTCTCTCTCTCTCTCTGCACAGCGCCCACCTCTCTCTCTCTCTCTGCACAGCGCCCACCTCTCTCTCTCTCTCTCTGCACAGCGCCCACCTCTCTCTCTCTCTCTCCGCACAGTGCCCACCTCTCTCTCTCTCTCTCTCCACACAGTGCCCACCTCTCTCTCTCTCTCTCTCTCTCTGCACACACAGCACCCACCTCTCTCTCTCTCTGCACAGCGCCCACCTCTCTCTCTCTCTCTCTGCACACACAGCGCCCACCTCTCTCTCTCTCTGCACAGCGCCCACCTCTCTCTCTCTCTCTCTCTGCACACACAGCGCCCACCTCTCTCTCTCTCTCTCTCTGCACAGTGCCCACCTCTCTCTCTCTCTCTCTCTCTCTCTGCACACACAGCACCCACCTCTCTCTCTCTCTGCACAGCGCCCACCTCTCTCTCTCTCTCTGCACAGCGCCCACCTCTCTCTCTCTCTCTCTGCACAGCGCCCACCTCTCTCTCTCTCTCTCTCTGCACAGCGCCCACCTCTCTCTCTCTCTCTCTGCACAGCGCCCACCTCTCTCTCTCTCTCTCTCTCCTCACAGCCCCCACCTCTCTCTCTCTCTCTCTCCACGCAGCGCCCACCTCTCTCTCTCTCTCTCCGCACAGTGCCTACGTCTCTCTCTCTCTCCACACACAGTGCCCACCTCTCTCTCTCTCTCTCTGCACAGCGCCCACCTCTCTCTCTCTCTCTCCGCACAGTGCCCACCTCTCTCTCTCTCTCTCCGCACAGTGCCCACCTCTCTCCGCACCGTGTTTGTGACGTCTTCCACATGCTTCACTCTTCCCCCGGAAGCAGAACCCGTTTCCAAAAAGCCCAGGCTCGTCAGCTCTGGAGGGGCGGGACAGGCGGGGGACACGAGGCTGTGGCTCTGACCCTGGAAGGTGATCAGAGGCCACAGCCCAGGAGTCGACCCGCCACGGCTGAGCCAAAGTCATCTCTCTGAGGACAAGCTCATCTCCTTCACTTAGGGAAGTCTAGCAGGTCGCCACTGCAGGCACCGCTGGCGTGGGCCAGATTGTTCCGGCTGTGATGTTCCTTCCTGAGGCCCGGGGTCCTCTGCCGAGAATGGGGGGGCAGCAATGGTCCCTTTGGACCCCTCCACCCCAGGTGCCCAGAGACCCCTGGACACCGGGCCGGGATGCCACAGCCAGGGACGGGCGCATTTACCTTTCTTGATGTTCCCAAAAAGGGACAGCACCTGCAGCGGCGCTCTCTTCCACACGGGCACTGTCTTGTAGATCTCCAGGGAATTCACCTGTTGGGAAGGAGAAGTAAGGAAGCGCGGGGGGGGGGGGCAGGGGGGGGAGGGGAGGGGCAGGGAGGTCAGTTCTGGATGGACTGAGACTTGCCAAGCCTTGGGGGACACCCGCGCGTGGCCTGCTGCCCCATCCTGCCCCGTCCTGCCCCGTCCTGCCCGTGTGCAGCCTGGTGCAGGCACACCTGCCCACACAGTGCCAACGAGGCCTGTTTGCCCGAGGCGGACACGGTGTGCGGCAGCTATGGTCTCAGGAAGAGGCAGGAGGGCCAGCCCGCCCGGCCAGGGTGGCCCAGGGACACCAGCCCGTCGGGAAGGGCATCCTCTCAGCCTGCCCCTTCTCCAAACCCACCAGCAAGTGGAGCCGGGGGTGGGTGGGCAGCTGGCCTGAGCCTCAAATGCTGCCACCCTCAGCTGAGCCCAAAAGTACCCTCGGGCCCCCCTGCCCCTTTCCTGCCGCTGGCCGCTGGCCTCTGGCTGGGCGGTCAGCAAGCAGGAGGAGCAGTTAACAGCCCGGCTCTGCCCCCTGCTGGCTGCCGTGGGCTGCTGCAGCGAGGCTCCAGCCCTGGGGAGTCTCAATTCAACTGCAGGCTAAGCCGGTGGCACGCATGCACACGCACGCACGCACGCACGCATGCGCACGCATGCACACGCACGCACACACGGCCGCTCGGGCTGCATGGCCTGAAGCTCACAGGGAAGCTCGTCCCGGCCTCTCCCAGCCTCGGGGCAGGCACCCCGTCCCCCACCCCCACACCCCCTCTTCCTCCATCCCAGGTCCCCGTCCTTTCCCTGGAATCCAACGCTCTCGGATTGAGGCTAGTCACGGACCCCTGGGCCCTGGCTGGACCTGGCGTATCATCCAGGGACGGTCTGCCCTGCTGCGTGTCCAGTGACCTCAGAGCTCCGGCCTGGCTTGCCGGCCTGTCCTCACCCTCCAGGGGGAACCTGGAAGAGCTGGCCCACACCGGCACGGCCTGCTGGACCGCAGAGAACTGTCTGGCTGGTTCTCCAGCTTCCCTCCTTCCTCCCTCCTCCTTCCCCCCTCCTGCCTCCCCCCTTCTCCTTCCCCCCTCCTGCCTCCCCCCTTCTCCTTCCCCCCTCCTGCCTCCCCCCTTCTCCTTCCCCCCTCCTGCCTCCCCCCTTCTCCTTCCCCCCTCCTCCCTCCCCCTCCTCCCTGGGACAACTGCCTTGTAAGAAGCGAATCCCCTGCTATGACATTTTTGAATGTGCTGGTAGTGGGGCTTGAACTCAGGACCTGGGTGCTGTCCCAGGCCTTTTCACTCAAGGCCAGTGTCCCACCACAGCTCTGCTTCTGGCTTTCTGGTGGTTACTGGAGATCAGAGTCTCAAGGACTTTGCTGCTTAGACTGGCTTCAAACCATGATCCACAATCTCAGCCTCCTGAATAGCTCGTGTGACAGCACCAGCCCACCAGGGCCTGGAGACTCTTCTTAAGAAACAGACCATCTAGCGGTGTCTTCTTCCCAAGGAGAAAACGAGGGGCCTGGGCTTTCCTCCTGCCGCCCAGCACTGGGTGCTTTTCACAGCAAGGTGAGCCCCAGGCCTCAGGCCGGCCAGCCCTGGCCCCAGGGCCTTACCGCCGCCTCCCGGTCCTGGAAAGCCTTCAGCTGGTCTCGCCACTTCCTCCTGCGCTGCAGCAGCCCACTGCTGGAGAAGGGCAGGCACAGGAAGCACACCCAGAAGCTCATGCTCTGCACCCGCTCCGCGGTCCCCGGGGACACGAGGACGTCCACACACTCCACGCAGTAGCACCTGGAGGCAGACAGAGAGCGTGTGGTGGCGGCTGCCGGCGCGGCCTCTCGGGGACACAGCCTCGCTCGAGGTGTGCAGGGCCCGGCTGGGTGGGGTGGGGCCGGGAGCCCGTGGGGTGGGCTCAGAACCCCCCTAAGCCTTCTCCCCCACATGGCCCGAGAAGCGGCCAGCGCAGGGGGGCGTGAGCTGCAAATGGGAGGACGGTGCAGGACGGAAGGAGGCGCGGGGATCGCGGACGCGCTCAGGGAGTGAGCAGCCGCTGGAGATGACCGCGTTCCCCGCGTCCCCGCGACCCTGCGACCCCCGCATCCCCGCGTCCCCCATGTCCCTGTGTCCCCCAGGTCCCCCCGCGACCCCCGCGACCCCCGCGTCCCCGCGACCCCCGCGTCCGTCCCCGCGACCCCCGCATCCCCGCGTCCCCCATGTCCCTGTGTCCCCCACGTCCCCCCGCGGCCCCCGTGTCCCCCGCGTCCCCGCGACCCCGCGTCCGTCCCCGCGACCCCCGCATCACCGCGTCCCCGCGACCCCCGCGACCCCCGCGTCCCCGCGACCCCCCGCGACCCCTGCGTCCCCGCGACCCCGCGTCCGTCCCCGCGACCCCCCGCATCCCCGCGTCCCCCATGTCCCTGTGTCCCCCACGTCCCCCCGCGACCCCCGCGACCCCACGACCCCCGCATCCCTGCGTCCCCCATGTCCCTGTGTCCCCCAGGTCCCCCCGCGACCCCCGTGACCCCCGCGTCCCCGCGACCCCGCGACCCCCGCATCCCCGCGTCCCCCATGTCCCTGTGTCCCCCAGGTCCCCCCGCGACCCCCGCGTCCCCGCGACCCCGCGACCCCCGCATCCCCGCGTCCCCCATGTCCCTGTGTCTCCCAGGTCCCCCCGCGACCCCCGCGACCCCCGCGTCCCCGCGACCCCGCGACCCCCGCATCCCCGCGTCCCCCATGTCCCTGTGTCCCCCAGGTCCCCCCGCGACCCCCGCGACCCCCGCGTCCCCCGCGACCCCAGCGTCTGTCCCCGCGACCCCCGCGTCCCCGCGTCCCCCCATGTCCCTGTGTCCCCCACGTCCCCCCGCGGCCCCCGTGTCCCCGTGTGGCCCAGGGCCCCGGGGCCCCTCCTCCGGGTGAGGAGGGTGGCGTGGCCGTGGGTTGGCTGAGGGTGAAGTGGGGGGGGGCCTCTTCACACACAGCACTGGAAGCGGGGTCCGCGGTGGGCGTGGGGAGGCGGTGGGCGTGGGGACGCTGGGCACCGCGTGCAGGCCGGGCGGGGCGGGGCGGGGCTCACCGCGTGCAGTCCGGGCTCTCGCAGATGAGCAGCGTGTCCCCCGAGCCGCAGATGGAGCAGAAGCCCTGGTACCCATCATCGTCATACTGGAAGAGGGTCTCCAGGAACTTGTCCTGGTCAGGAGCAGAGGAAGCCTGCGTCCTCCCCGGCCCCCCGCCCCGAGCCTGGGGGACCCCGCCCCAGCCTTGCCGCTTACCTTGCATGGGATGCACATCCCTCCCACAAAGAGGGGGTGCTGTGTGTATACCTGGAAACTTCCGCAGCAGAGGCAGATGTCTAGAGAGAAGGCCAGAGTGCAAGGGGCTCTACCGACCTCACGCACAGGAAGCCTGGGCGTTATTAGCCAGCGAGCCCTGTGTACCCGGCAAACAGCAAGACCCGGGCACCAGGGAGGAGCGCTGGGAGGAGGGAGAGGACGGTGGGATGAGGGCGCTGGGGAGGAGCGCTGGGAGGAGGGAGAGGACGGTGGGATGAGGGCGCTGGGGAGGAGCGCTGGGAGGAGGGAGAGG